AACGTGGGAGATCGCTCTTGGAAGCTGACAATTCTCGAAGTACGAGTTATATGAGAGCTGAATGAAGGGTGAAAGTTTCTAAGGAAACTGTGGTGCTGCGTCGGTGGGGGTAACAAAGTAATTTCGTTCTATCAACTAAGTTAAAATTGTAAATTGGCCACCGTAAAGAGTTAAAAAGCTGACGTTTCGAGCGTTAGCCCTTCGTCTAATAAAGAATGCGGCAAAAGTGTACGTTCGAATCAAGACGCCATTCTCTGTGCAGAGTGTCATATATGGTCACACGCCAAGTGCATCGGTCTATCGAATGCGATATTTAAACATTATCTGGACAACCTAATATGGACTGGACGTGTGGTTGGTGCAGCCTTTCTTCTCCTTTTTCGCTGTTGCCTTTGTAGACTTTCGCAAAGCGTTTGATAGTGTATCGAACCAGGTCTTGTTGGAGAAATTAAGCTCAAGTTTTGGCATTTGTGATCAAGCACTGGGTTGGATTACTGATTATTTAATTGGGAGAAAGCAGTACACAGTTCTTAATGGAAATATCCCTGACACTATGCCCGTATCCGTCGGTATACCACAGGGATCAGTGCTCGGCCATACACTGTTCTCTTTACGTATGATGCACGATCCTCGCAGTAGATAGCGCTGTTCAAGCAATAGCAAAAATCAGACCTGAACTGTTCTCTTTATTTGTCAATCCCTACCGCCAAGTGTGAAATCAGGCTCCGTCTATTTATTCACTGATGATATTACGATCTACTGTATCAAACAAACGCCAGATGAAGCGGTAGCTCAGTTGGACAAAGCTTTAGATGAGCTGTACAAATGGTGTATTTTAAATCGCCTTACCCCACATCAGGAAAAAAAGCGAAGCCATGTTAATTTGCAAAACAAAAATTACGGGGCCAGTGGCGCCAATCCACATAGGTACCGACGTCATAAAGTGGGTTAACAAGTCTCGTCCAGGCTACTGGGTATAACAGTCGATGATAAACTCTCCGGGGTACCGCACAGATTGGATCTCAAGAAGAGTTTCGCAAAGAAGCTATACCTAATTAGGACACTGAGGTTCCTACCAAAGGACGTTCTTTTTAACTTTTACTTCAGAGTCATATTGCCATCAGTAACTTACGGCGTCGTTCTATGGGGGTCGTGTTTTAATGCAGATCTCTTCGACTCATTGGAACGATTGCACTGTAGAGCGGCGAGGATAATTTTTAATTTACCTAAGGTCATGAGATCGTTGGACGTGTTAAGAAAAGCTGATTGCCATCCGCTGAGCTATAGTTATAAGTTAGTTCTGTTAAAGCTAAAGTACAAAGCATTTCATGATAAGCTCCCACTAGAGCTATCCGATAATATTATGACGAAACGCCCTACAGGTTACTCTTTACGAGCGTTGGACTCCGTAGCGGTGCCACATTTCAGCTCTATTTATGGTAAAAACTCTATTGCTTATAGAAGCCTTGTATTATGTAATATTTTAATTTCTAAGGACAAAACTATTCCTAATACAAGTTATCAAAACTTGAAGAGGAAAACCCGTTCAATGGATATTTTTAAAGAGTTGACTTTCAGAGAGACCTCTACAACAACCACAAATTTTAGACGTAAAGATTTCCATTCTATTTAGGTTACATCATAGCTTTTAACAATTTAATTTTTAGATAGTTT